GACAGGGACAGGAAAAGAGAAAGGAAAAGGGGGAAAGCAAGCCGCCACGTCTGGGACTCGAACCATGGTAGGCCATGTGGAAATCCATTGCCTTTAACCAACTTGCCACCTGCCAGCCCCTTGAATGTCACTACTTTATTAACATGAAATAGACCATACATTTTTAGATAAAATATGCTTATGAAGAAAAAATTGCAGAACCCTACAGATGTGTGCCAATATACTTTTTGTGTATTTGAGTAAGATAAACATCGGCAAAGCATACAATTAAATTGAAAGAAAAGGTAAAGATAGAAAGGGTAATTAATTGGTACTTTTTATACCTATTCCTGGCTTGAGGAAAGTAAAATCCACTCAAGTTTAAAATATAATAATCTAGGGGCCAGCAGGTGGCATGGTAGTTAAGTCATTGACTCCCACATGGCCAAACATGGTTCACGTTTTGGAACTGGTGGCTTGCTGTTTCACTTTCAGTTTTTCTCTGGTCAGATTAAAAAACAATAACACTAATAATAAATAATATTAAATAAAGAATTCTTTAAAAAATAATCTGGAAGATTTACTGCTGACTGAAGCAAGCCAGGCTATGAAGGAGAGTTACTGCATATCTCCACTTAATATATCACGACTGTCTGCACTCTATGGCAGAAACTGAAAGATAAGTGGATGAACAATTTAAATAAAATTATAAAATGCCAACAAGGAATAAAAAAGCAGGATAGCACATAAACATATCTAAAACACAAAAGAACATGAAAATAAAGGATATAAAATAGTGAATTCTAAAAGGCCTTCATAAGAATGTCACTAATGACAACTATGAGGAAGATACATAATTTAATTTCATATAAATTTGAAAACTTTATGATAAAATAAGTAAAAACCAGCATTTGAAAATGTTTGCAACATATATAGCAAAAATTAATATGCCCAACATGTAGACAAAAATCACTGAATCAGATATAATGGCCAAAGGGCATGAACACAATTAGCAAATACATGCAAACATATTTAATTCCATAGTTATAAAAATAGAAATAATTACAGGACCAGCAGTTAGTGTAATGGCTATGTCACTGGACTCTCATGTAGTTGACTGCGGTTCGAGTCCTGGACCTGGTGGCTTAAAACTCACGCCGGGCTCATGTGCGTGCGTGCCCAAGATCCTGAGAGGAGAATGGAGGAGAAGATATTGTGGTGTGGCCATCCCCCTTGAAAGTGATTTCTTGCTTTCTGTCTTTCTGTCTCTGTCTGTCTGTCTGGTGAGCACACACGCTCTATGGCAAAAACCTCTCAAAAAAAAAAAAAAAGAATTATAAGATATTATGTTTTTCTCTTAAGATTGTAAAAACTAAAACGAAGACATGAAAAATTCTTATTATATCTGGAGTTGTTGAGAAAAGGAGGAAGTGCACATTCAAGCACATATGATAGGAGTAATTGGCACATTTCTGAAGGACGTGTTGCCAAGTTATGTATCAAAAATTTAAATGTACATGTTATTTGAATAGAGTTTCATTACAGAAATTTCAGAAAATTATATCCTGAGGAAATAATCAAAGTAGATATAAAGATGTTCACTTCGGTGTTGTTTGTATTAGTATTGAAGTATTCTAAACAAATCCACAGTATTTTCTAATATCATATTAAGCAACAGAAATTTATGCAGCAAAGAATGAGGCACAGCTATGTTTATTAACGTGGTATTAACTATGTTAGTAAAAATGATTCATGTATGTAACATATGCTCCTTTTTAGTACACACTGGCTCATGCAATGGCATGCTTAAGAGAACCCTACTCTCAACTATGTTAGTGCTTGTTTTCTTCCTTTGTTTACTAAAACTACTAAGTTTGCTATGGTTGGAAGGGAACTTAGACCAGAAGAACCCATACAGTGCTAAATAAGAACAAGCCAGGTTATCTTAGTTCATGCACACTGCTCCTGTAACCAAATACCTGAGACTGGATAATTTATAAAAAAGATCATTTTATTTCTGTCTGCGGGATGGAAAACTCAAGAAAACAAGACCAGTAGTGTGGTGCCTGGTGAGACCCGATTCCCCGTTTCCAAGACAGTGCATTATTGCTGTGTCCTCTGGAGGCGGACACTGTCTTCTGGTGAGAGAGAAAGGAAGATAAACCCACTCCCTCAAGCCCCTTTCTTATTTTACTTTTTAAAAATAATTATTTATTTTATTCATTATTATTATTAACTTACTATGGTCCTGAGAGAGAGAGAAAGAGAGAGAAAGAAAGTGAGAAAACAAGCCACAGGCCAAGTCCAGGATTTGAATCGCCATCGGCCATGTGGGAGTCCAGTGCCCCAACCACATGCTGGCCCCTCAAGTCCTTTTATAAGAGCCCTAATCCTATCCATGAAGACTCCAACCTCATGAGCTCATCACCTCTTAAAGGCCGCCCCTCTTCCTACTATGGCATTGGTGGTTAAGTTGCAACGCATGCATTTTGGTGGGCATATCCAAACCATAGCACACTTCTAGCATTAGCAATGCAAGCACCATTTAATTTCTTACCTATGTCAGTTGCTCGAGCTGGCAGAGGTCTCCGCCACTGTGTGACGAATTTGTATGCATCCAGCCGGATTTCAATGATATTGTTTAACAAAGCCAAAAGTGGGGCCAGAGGAAAGGCCGCAACAAAGATGGTGGTAAAACCAAACTGCAAAACTGTAAGAAGAGCATTCAAAATTATCAACATAAACAGCATCATTCCTAGAGTTCCGTCCTCCTCTGCACACAAACAGGTGCTCTATATAAATTGCCTTTAATTCTTTCAACATCCATACGCAGTCACTATGACTATCTCCTATTTTTTTTTTAATAAGGAAATGTTAGATCAAGTGTTAAAGTTGCTAAAGGGTGGATAGTTAGAACATGTTAAAACCTGCAAACTCAGATACGAATGGATTTAAAGTCTATGTACTTTCTAGCTCTATGGAATGCAGAATGAAGAAGGGGAGAGAGGAGAAGGAAGAGGTGGAAGATGAGGAGGAGGACTTTTTGATATAGGAATTGACTTGACTTAATTTTGTTCCTTCAAAATATTTCCACTGTGAGAACTTTTGGTCAAAAATTATGGGTCTCAGAAGATAAAACATGTGTGCGTTCCAAGGGCTCTGATTAACACCTCTAGCTCTGTTCAGAAAAAAAAGTGCAGATGCGTTGTAGAAGCTTGTGGTGACGAAGGAGAAAGAGGGTTTTCTCTTGAACCAAAGCCTGTGTGAAGTAGAAAAACAGTTTTAAGAAAGGCCAGGCCTAGGGCTTGATGGCAGTGCAGTAACATGCTATGATCCAAGGCTGACCCACATGGGAGGGCTGTGAGGTGGTGTCTGTAGCCCTCCCTGAATACGCTAGCCCTGAGCTTTTCCATGATCCAGGACTGCCTGAAACTGAGTCTCAGCATCAAGACCAGGTTATGGGTACAGTCTCTTTTTCTTTTTATCTCTCACAATTATGGAAGAAGCAAATAAATAAACTAAAAAAAAATTATTAAAGATCATTTTTTTAAAAGGTAAGGCAATGGTAAGGCAATAATGGACTGCTGAAGAGAAACCGGAGTCCTTGAGCTGATTCCATGGCCTGGTGATTAAGACAGATGGATCCTACATGGCCAACCATGTTGTTGGAGTCTTGGACCCAGTGGCCTGAAAAACATGCCAGGCCTGTGTGTACAAGCCCCCAGTCTTGGAAGGAGGGAGAAATGGAGGAGGGATTGTGGTGTGACCATTCCCATGGAGGTACTCTCCCCTCCTCCTCTCTTTCTGTCTCTCTCTGGAGAGTGTATGCACCTTCTAGAAAGAAAAAGTATATAAAGAGAAGCCAGATTACACAGGGCTCCCTCCCTTCAGGCTGGTTATCCTGAAACATGCCAGGCACATGCATGAATGTCCAAGATCTGATGAACAGGGGACTGGCAGAGGGAGCTTGTGGCATGACCAGATCCTGTGGAAGGTGCCTCTCTCTGTCTCTCACACACACACACACGTCCACACTCTATCATGAACAAAGAAATGGAAAAAAAAAAAAAAAGCTCAACTCGTTCTCTCCTTACCCATTTCTAAGTACTCGTCCATCAGCCCGTGAATGTTCATGGGCTGCAGGTTCCAGTCGTTCTCCCACTGCGGGATGGAAGCGTCCTGGATTCCTCGCTTGATTTTATGTCGTGACCACCAGTTCTGGATCAACCTACAGCACAGAGCAGACCGGGGGCCTCTGAACGATGTGAGCATCTGGTGAACAACCCTAGTGTGTTAAATAATAAGTCACACCAACCATTCTCAGCCTACACTAAGCATTCCCAAGAACTGGAGGTATCTGAAGGTTTCACTGTTAAAAAAAAAAATTTTTTTTTTAGAGATATTTGTCTTAGGGTGCATGCACTGGCCAGAGAGAGACAGAGTGACAGAGACTGAGAGGAAAAGTGAGAAATAACCCTCTGGGGGGGATGACCACACCACAGTCTCTTCTCCTCCATTCTACTCCAGGATCTTGGACATATATGCACACATGCCCGAAATGATCTTTCAAGTCACCAGGTCTGGGACTTGAACCATGGTCAGCCATGTGGGAGTCAAGCAACATAATTACTATCCCATTTTCTGGCCCCTAAAAACATTATTTTAAAGTCCCATTTTTTTTTTTCAGTTCAAAAGGGAAAAAAAAATGTTTAAAAGCCTTTAAAAATGGCTTAGTATGGGAAAATAAGTCCCAGCTTTCCAGAACTTCCCCAGACCCTACTGTATCTTCACATTGATCCAGGAATTCATCCCTGTCCACTAAGATACTCCTTGATACTAGTTAGACAAATATCCACCTCAGTGATTCTTTCCCCACCTACATAAATACTTAACTTCCTATGTGGCCTTTTTGATTAGATCTGAGCCCTTTATTGCTTCATAACCCAAATCTCTATGCTATGCTCTCTGGGCATAAATAAATGATGCTTCACACAAAACAACTATGGCCTAGTTATGGTGTCAAGAGACCGAGGTTGTACACTTTGTTCTGTGTGCATTAGCTGCCTGATGTTTGGCCAATGACTTCAATTCTCTGAGTTTCTAAACAGGAGGAGATGGAGCACCAGTGATTACATTCTGCTACTAAAATGAACACCGATAGCCAGGCAACAGATCTGTGTCTGTGTGTCTGTCCCTCATAATAGCTGTTTCCCTCGTCAAGGAAGTCTTGAAATTACGTGACCTAGAAATATCTTGGTATGCATATACTGTAGACTCTTGGGGAATGAATTATTTTGAATTCTGTGAAAATTACATCTAGCGGGAGGAAAAATCTCACAAGACACAGTGAACAGTAGTCGACACTTGATTTTAATTGACTATGGGCCTGGAGTTGCAGTGGGAGTTGGAAGGGCAGCCACAGCTAGGCCATACTGCCAGGCAGTGGAGGTGGCCTCTGCACCTTCATGAAGATAAAACAGAGGCTGGAGGCTGGAATTGAAGCCAGTCTGCTTGTTGCTATTTTATTTCGTTTAGTTCTGCTTGAAATTTTACATGAAGAAAGAGAACTTCGGTTTGAAAGTTTGAAATCATTGCTTTAATGACTGGCCTACTGATGACCAATTTCTTCAACGAGAACTTTCAGGCACTATTCACGTTATGGGGGAAATACCAGCAGGGTGCCTCTTGCTGTAGTGCCTTTAGGATTTGGTATGAATGATACAGGCTGACTACCTGGGCCAGGCCAGTGTGAAAATGTGCTGGCCCATGTGCATGGCCCATAGCAAGTCCATGAATAACGATCCAAGAAGAACCCTTGTGAATACTACAGCGACTACCACACTGTCCTGACGTGCTTACGAAGTCCTCACAGCACGCCCTCCTCTGATTACTCAACACCTAACTTCCTCAGATGTTTCCTAATGATGTTTCCCAAACCCTATGTTTTAAGGAGGTACCAGTCAAGGATAGGAAGGGAAACAACAGAGAGACTGGGACCCCCAATCCTCTTATCCCCATTTTTAACTTAGAAGAGATTTGCTTTATGTATAGAAGGATTTTATACAAAAAGGTTCTGTCATTTATAATGAAAGTTTAAAAACTATTGGGTCAGCTCATTTAATTTTCTATAGCTCTCTACTTAACAAATGAACAAGAAAATTCTTCAAGAAGTAAATTTCAAGCAAAATTGAAAAGGAATAGAGAAGGAATTTGAACTGGGTCTGCGTAATGCCATAGTCCATCTCTAAGACTGCCTATAATTTAACACAGTACTCTATGGCAGAATTCAGGGTTGATATCACTTCTTCCACCCCGGGTCTTACTCAGGAAGGTCCTGATGAAATTTGGATGCTACCAAGAAGAAAGAATCAGAGTATAGTTGATGACTATGCCTTAGTTATTTATACCATCAACAGCAAACCATTTCTTCCCCAAGAGTCTAAAATTATTCAAAACAGTCACGTTTTTAACTTTTGGTTGATTGGGTTCCCAAACTTCAATCCCACATAGGTTTAACTTTTTTCTTTGGCTGCAATTTAAAGGAGGTGAATACATTTTAAATATATTAAAATATGTCAGAAGTAGGCATTTAACATTTATGTCAGCGTTTCACAGACAATGCAGACTTACCTAAAGGAATAAAAGAAGAATGTCGATGCTATACTATCATCATCAGTCCTGTTCTAATGATATATACTGATGATAACAAAGATTACAAAACCTTCCATCCAGAATTTCATTTTTATTTTATTTTTTGAGAAGAATGGAGGCTCTCTCTGTTAATCTGAACAACAACTTGGTTGGGTGGTTTAAAAAAAAAAACCACCAAAAAACAGACATTTATTTTCATTCCTAGAAACCTGGATTTTCAGTAGTGTTTGAAAAATAGCAACCAATGCCTTATGTGTTGAACAAGTTACTCTACATCCATTGATTCTGTTAATCTTTTTAGCTGTACTTGCAGAAGACAGGACTGTCAACTCTTTTCTTAGTGATGTGAGAACTGAGGCTCAGCCAAGTTTATTAACTCATACATGTCTGTGCATTTATTAAGGAAAAGAGCAGAAACCCCTTGTTTGTCTGATTTCCAAGCCCACATTTTTAGGTACTATTCATGTTCGTTCATTCGTTCTTTCTGTCCTTTTTCTTTCTTTCTTTTTGAGAGATTTTTGCTATAGGGTGCATGCATATCTGGAAAGACAGAGAAATCACCCCTAGGGGGATGGGAACACCACAATCCCTTCTCCTCTGGGGATTTTAGGCATGCATGCACATGCATCCAGCATGAGTTTCAAGGCCCTGGGTCCAGAACCTGAATCATGGTCAGCCATGTGGAATCCAGTGCCTTAACTACTTTGCCAGCTGCTAGCTCCTCTTTCTTTTTATAAATATAAATGGCAAGCTTAAAAATAACGTGCTCACGGATATCCCAGTTCCATGAAGTTGTTCCATATTTGCTTCAAAAACATGATAACACCCATCTGGAGACAGAGGTCTATCAAACAGCCACTAGGATGACACTGAAACAGGAAAATAAGAGCATTAATGACCTTGCTCTTGCTCAAAAGCATAATAGCAATAACAACAAACCTAACTTTCAATGAGCATATACCATTTGCCAACTCTATATAAGGCATGATCTCATTTAATGCATATTATAGAATACTATGTATCCAGTAATAACCAGCTAATAGAAAATAATTATATTGCACAATGTTTATATTATTTTTGATAACCTTTTTTACTTCAGAATAATTTTGATTTATGGAAAACTTGCAAAGAGGGACCAGAGATGGCATAATGGTTACGTCACTGAGCTCCCATGAGCGACTACAGTTCATGTCCAGGACCTGGTAGCTTAAAACTCGTGCTGGGCACATGTGTGTGCCCAATATCCCAAGAGGAGAATAGAGGAGAAGGGATGTGGCCATCCTGGGGCGGGGGTAGAGGATGCTGATTTCTTGCTTTCTGTCTCTCTGTCTCAGAAGCACAAACACCATATAGCAAAAAAACTCTAAAGAAAGAAAACTTGCAAAGGTAGTACAGAATTCAATCCCTGCCATTGCTCCTTATGTTACCATGGTATATTTGTTGAAGCTATAAAAACAACCTTAGCACTGCACGTTGCAATGAATGAAGCACCACACTCTACATGGACCTCACCAGTTTTCCTCTCTGCTCCAGGATCCAACGCAGCATAACCTACTGGATTTATTTTTCACACTTTCCTCGTCTCCTCTGGGTCTGCTCAGTTTCTCAGTTTTTTTTATAACCTTGAAAGTTTTGAGAATTGCTGGTAGAATTACTGTAGAATGTTTCTCAGTCTGGGTTTGCTTGGACTGGGGTTATACATTTTTGGGAGGCAGATCACAAGGTAGGACTGTTTCTGTCACGTCGCATCCATGCTATGTGATCGCCATTGGACTTTGCTAGTGATGTTAACCTTCAGCACATGGTCAATGCATTAGACTGTTGAGAATGTTACCACATATTTTTTCTATGCCCAAATGTGTGTTATGACTTCCCCAACAACCCTATGGTATTTTTCAGGTGTTCCTCAGAAAGTTACTCATTTTGATCATTCTCTTTTCAATTCTTTAGAAATAAGCCACTAAGTGTAGCCCATTTTCAAGACTGGGGGAAGGTATTAAATTCTTCTAGAGAAGGTGTCTCTACATATATTGTTCTTTTTTTTTTCTTTTTGTATAAAATAACTTCTATTTACATAATTGATATCTATAGAATGTAACTTTTCTTTAGAAGAAGAAAATTTACAAATGATAGATATTGCTTTTTTTTGGTCAAAAACTTCTTCAGATAAGATAATATACATGGTTACTTCTGTTTCAAATGACATGGTGGTAATAGGTGGATGGTAATACTTTTAACTGTGCCTCAATCATTACCAACAGTTAGGCTTTTAAACCATCATGATGGTCACTTTCTAAGACATAAGTGGTTAGGTAGAAAAGTCAAGAAAAAATAAAGTCCTTTAATCAGATCTCCTTTAAGATTTATAAAACAACAAATTCTTTGCAACATTTTCTTTACATGAATCAGACTTCACATAGGTCTTCCCACTTTGTAAAATAAATACACTGATTGTTTCTCTTTTTTTCCAAGATTAATTTTAAGGATATATGAGTAAGAATTGACCAACCTGATTCTCTAATAAATGCCCCTGGATTCTTAATATAGTAAGAAATTACATCTTCCATAAAATTAGTTATTACAAATGAACAAGAGATGTTGTTAACAAAGTTTAAAAAATAAATAAATCATAGTTGAGTCATTGCAATCTATCACCCAAACTAACACTAAAATAAAGGAAAAAAGATTATGAGATTAAAAAATTTACACAACAGAGTATTAAAATAAATAGCAATGCAATTTACTACCATGATTTCTACACATATTTTTAAAAATAAATGCATGCCACAATAGCTTGTCAGTATGATCCAAATTTTTCCTCCTCTGTTTTTTTTTTTAACTTTAGTAAGATGGCATTAGAAATCCACAGAAATAAAAATGTGTTCTTAATAAAAGTTGCAGAAATAGTGTTTCATTTGAAAAACCTTGCACTCTGCAAGACATCTGGGTAGGGAAGTGTGGGTCTACTTCATTAGAAATGGGTTCATGTCCTGCTCATAAGGATGACAGTCTTTTCTCTAGCTTTGATCTAGTTTCTATTTCTATCAAATTGGTACCAGTGGGACTTCAAAGGAATAAGTAATTAGGGCACAGCATCTGCTTCTCCTGTTCCAGCCCAGTGATGTAAAACTCCCTAATCTAAGTCAGAAGGAGGACTGGCCAGTGGTCCTCTTAATTGCATGGAGAGGTCTAAATTCCCTGATCTAACTGTGTTTCTTCTTTCTAAGATTAATGGTGACCCCCTTTATGTCTGTCACATATATTGGATAAGTAGGTTCAGTAGAATGGCTGATGTCAAATAAGGACTTTGCATTAAGGCCATATCATAGACCACAACTGCAACTTGATCCATCCAATGTTTGTAAAAAGACTTGGAGGCAAACTGATTTTCCCAAGTTACACGATGCTGACTGTGCTGTGGGAATGAAAGCCTTGGTTCCCTGCACCCTGATTCACAGTGTTTTTACATTATGCTGAAGATAAATTCTGTTTACGATATGTGTTTGGTGCCTTGAAGTGTAAGTTTCGCACAAGTGTTAAGTCATGTAGGACAGGAAAAGAAGACAGGACCATATGATGGTATCACATCCCATAAAATGTAGGCCAAAGTGGGGAGACTGGAAGACATGTTCATTTATAATTTTGTTGAAATTAAACCTTGACAACTTTGTGATTTATGGGAAGAAAGTGGGATTCAACAGAATTTGTGAATCTCTTCCCCAAATTACCTTTGCTAATTTAAGCTGAATACTCCTGGGAAAAAGTAAGTCTTGGGTCCCAAATTGGGTAAGAATGTGTACAGTTGGGTAAGTTTCTTTCATGGCCCAGCATTATGACTATAAGGAGCATATTTGGATAAGACTACATGCTCCTGTTAGCAGATATAGTCATAATTCGGGGTCATGAAAGAAGACTACAAGTTGGACTTGAGGGTTTATAGGTAGCCCCATGGTTACAAAAGGCCTTAGTCTGTCTTGAGCCAATAGAGGAATATAGGGCAGCTGTGGAGACAGAGTGTCGATACATACCAGCGACAATCCCAAAAGAGCATATAGTCCAGGGGCTTATTGATTTTGTTATGTAAATTATCTCTTACCTACAAGCAACCTGAGCAATCTCAGTGTAAATATTGCCAGTTTAGGATGAGGAGACAGACATTCAGAGAGGTTGAGTTAAGGACAAAGAGTTAGTAAGCTGCAAGGTTAGTTAGCATTTGGACCCAGGTTTTTGAACTATATGTTCTTATGAGGTTTTAGGCTTTATCCATGTATTTTTATCAATTTCTAGAATGTTCTGTAGAGACAACATAAACGAGAGTCCTATGAATGTGAAGGAGCTTTTTAGATAGACTGAAAATACATCTATCCTGTTATCTTGTGAAATTTCTTTTCTTTAAAAATTTGTTGTAGGGTGCATGTGCTTAGCAGAGAGAGAGTATTGAATAAAAAATTTTATTACACATTATATATATTAAAATATATTACATATATTTTCCCCCCAACCAGGGGGAAAAACCCAAAAACTTATCTACTTACTCATTATACCAAATTCATCATACATGAATCAAAGATATCACTATTTTGAAAAACAGTATTAGTGATTGGGACCAGCAGGTGGCGAGGTGGATAAGGTGCTGGACACTCCCACATGGCTGACCATGGTTCGAGTCCCGGACCTGGCAGCTTGCTTTCTCACTCTTTCTCTCTCTCTCTGGTCAAATTAAAATAACCGAATAAATAAAATAAAATAAATAATTATTTTTTAAAAAAGAAAATAAAAACAGTACTAGTGAAACAAAAAAGTCTTCTTCAATTTCTGGAAATGAGAAGACACTTTTTGACATGATATAAATCCCAAAAGCAACTAAAATAGTCACATTTTCAGTAGAAAATGCTGTATTGTCAATAAAAGTATCACAATAAAATTAAAAGATACACAAACAAACTGAGAAAAAATATACAACAAATTTGAAAGATTAAAGTCTAATTTAATTGCTTTGTGTGTGTGTGTGTGTATATGTGTGTGTGTGTATATACATATATGTATTTTTTTGAGAGATTTTTGTGATAGGGCGCATGTGCTCGTCAGTAAGACAGAAAGCGTCAGAGAGACAGAAAGCGAGAAATCACTCCCCAGGGGGAATGGCCACACCTCAATCCCTTCTCCACTCTCCTCTTGGGATCTTGGGTATGCACACTCAAGCCACCAGGTCCAGGCCTTGAACCATGGTCGACTACATGGGAGTCCAGCAACATAACCATTACGCCAACTGCTGGTCCCAGCTTTATAAATTAATAAGACAGAAAAACTGTCAAATGAAACTGAACAGGAACAGTATGTGTGCACATATACACACATACAGAAATATTAAATGCCCAACAAACATGAAACTATTCTCCATCTCACTAATAGTTTAACAAACATAAAATCAAAAGGATCATTTTTTGGAGGGGTTGCTATTAGGTTGGTAAAAATGAAAATGTTTCTGTTGGCAAAAGTCTGAGGAAGAAAGCTCATACACAATAAGGAGGGGTAGAAATTTCAGAGCAGTTTCTCAGGCTCGGTGTAAATATATAATATGCTTATTTATAATCTAGTAATACCACTGGCCATATTTTACCATGTGACATACATGAGCAACGTGAGTCTTAGGCATTCAAAGGTAAAGGGTCTTTAGAACATTCATAGGTAATGTGTATTATGAAAAAAAAACTATGCAAGAATTTAAAAGATGTTTTGTACTAAAATAAACTCATATACTTTAGTTCCATTTCCCCACAAACTTTTTGAAGTCTCCGTGTGTATACCTATACATTTATATGTTAGTGTTTCAAGTAAAATTTCTTTTGCGCCAAAGTTTTCTTTAGTGCAAAAAATCTAACCTATTTAAAAGATTGAATACCCATACAAAAGATAATAATAATGTACAAAAATAGGAAAATTACTTGATCTAAATGCATAGGTTTGTCAATGACAGAAGTATTAAGAGATGTGATAAAAACACTAAAGGGCTGAGGGCAGAATCTTGGAGTTTAAACTTTTAGCTCAATTCCTTTTAGGAATTCATGCGGTTGTTTCCTTTCTGAACCAAAGGAACTCCTCTCTGCTAAAACTGTGTCTTTCACATGCCTGCCCACCAAGAAATTCACCTTCTCTCCCTAGACACCTTCCTCCCCAGTCACTGGCCCCTATCTGTGCCCACCCTCACGCCCACCCTCACAAGGGTACTTACTTCCTCCAGTCTCCACCGATCAAAAAGTTTATTGTACTTTCCTGGGTGACCTACGAATCTGAAAAAGGCATTTGAATTCATTAGCATTTCTGTGGGGGTGACTGGAGAACATCTACTACATCATGATTGCCTGTGTGGGCAGACCCAAATGCTCACTGGTGCAATATGTCCCCAAACAGGTGACCCTCACTGGGCTCAGGCAACATCAAAGTACCTGACTTATGAAGGAGAAGATGATGCGTGAACACAACATCAATGTGTCTAGAAAGTACAGACAAATCAAGGGATGACGTTTTTCACTTTCACTTGTAGAGTGTTCATGTCTTGTTGACCTAGCTCCTGAAGATTACAATTGCCAAACTGGTTCAAAACATTTCTAGCTTCTGTATATTTCCATGGCACTGGGTGCAGTGTTAAGTATGGCAAACCAGGGCCACTGGTTTAATATGCTTCCTTGTCATATTTTTCAACAACAGTTGGGAAACAACAACAACAAAACAACCCTAAAACACTAGAACGATGACTCCAACAGGTTTCCACACTAAGGAGCTGTAACCCAGGGTTACACAGAAATTCTTCCCTTTTTTTAACAAAACCACTACTGATGACTTGATAGTCATCATTCGACTCAAGTGTGGCACCCTAGGTGTTACTTTCTGTACCAAGTTTAAGTAGTGATGGCTATCTGAAGTCATCTGAGTAAAAACACATGTGAAAATTTCCTGTTGATGAGAATATGTATAGTATTCTCATCCGGACTGGTCTGAGAAGTATTTCATGTTAGTTAAATTCTCTTTATAAGCCAAATGATATATAGGGATTGAATGTTTAAAGACATAATCAGAATAATAATAATAATAATAATAACAATCTGAAAAAAAAAAAAGGAAAAGCAGGACCAGCAGTTGGTGTAATGGCTATGTCACTAGACCCCCATGTAGTCAACCACGGTTTGAGTCCCGGACCCGGTGGCTTAAACTCATGCCAGGCGCGTGTGCGTGTGTGCCCAAGATCCCGAGAGGAGAATGGAGGAGAAGGTTTTGTGGCATGACCACCCACCCTGGGTGGGTGATTTCTCACTTTCTGTCTCTCTGTCTCTGTCTTTCTGGTGAGCACACGCACCCTATAGCAAAAAAACCTCTCAAAGAAAAGAAAAGCTATTTGCCGCTGCTAATGTGGATAGTAATGTTTTTGTCTTGACTGATATGCATGATAATCATGCTAGGAAAAGAAATGTTATACACTGTGAAGATACATGTGATTAAATGTCATATTAAAAAAATAAAGCTAATGTTCTCTTAAAAAAATTGATAAAGTCTTTCAAGGCAGGGGACAAAATTAGCCACCCTTGTTAACTAGCAGGCAATGAAATTTGTTTTTTATTTTCCTCTGCAAAGATGATGTACAAAGCTGACTTACCTTCCCAAAAAGAAAGCAATATAGAAGATAGAACTGTTTAAATTGACAAACTGGAAGAGGAACATCTTCAAGGCAAAGCTGTTTTCCCATTCAGATTCTGTTCGAGGATATTCTGAAACGAGGACAGGATGTAGTTACATAGACTGGGTGAATGAGAAGGACTCTGGACATGGAAGCAGGAACCCCTTGTCAAAGTTTTGATTAGTAATTTACTAGTTCTGTTAAGCATTGAGTATTTCTGAGTCTGAGTGAAATGTGAATCATGATACCTGCTGTACAGAGGTTATAAAAGGATCCAATAAGGTAATCTTTTGACTCTCCCCACGAATACAGAATTACGATCCCTGTCAGTACTATGTAAAGATCTTCAGGATTCTTCTTGCTACTATCATTTAAAGGTAACCATACATACTGAATCAATCCTTCGTCCAAATTGGCTCCACCCGACACAGGGACCTAAGCTGTCCCACAGTTCTTAGATGGATGAGCGTTTAGGCGCAGACTGAGGAGTAACAGCACAGAAGAATCAGGCCGCGTAAGTTAGAACTGAGTTCCCACCTCAGTCTTAAACCCAACGTGTAGATAATCTCACATATGCCTTTGTATTTTTTTTACAATCAGTTTTGTGCCAACTCTCACATTTTATGGTTGATTCTATGACTTTTTAAGGAAAAAATAGATGAGAGAGAGAGATGGATGAAGGAGGTAGCCTACACTGCAGCCTCGTCTCCCACCTAGTATTTAGACACCTGGCAGAAACTACATGTGCATATAATGTGTATTTTAAGGTACTGGGTTGTCAGAAAATGACCCAATAATTGAGTATTTAGAAAAGATAGAAACTCTGATTTGATCTAATGTAAAGAAAACACGGGTCAAATGCACACATGAGCATTATCACATGGAAGGAGGGAAGAACAGGCCCTGGGGAGCTCCAAGTTCAAAGGTGGTAAGGCCCATAGTGGGAAGGGCGCCTGGAGGGCCCAAAAGCATGACTGTGGGCGCCATGAGAAGAGTCAGACTCTGCCCAGATTTGCTATGTTGAGCTTTCACTGCGATCTGCATCTAGTTTGGCAAAGTCAGTTCTATTGCTTCTTTGTCACAGTTTATAAAAGAAGATGTGAATTAAAAAAAAAAAGTTATAGTGTATAGGTCCTCCATTTCTAATTTCCACAAATGTGTCCTGCATGATAATTCACACACGTGCCCTGCATCGTTTCTGCTTTGCGGCATAAAGTTCCAATTTCACTTGGGGTCAAGTGGTGTGAAGCCAGTTTTATCAAGTCATTAAGTGGAAATAATATTTATTTTCTCTTGGGCACACAGTTTACCTATTTTTTTTGAGAGAGATTTTCGCTATAGGGCACGTGTGTTCACCAGACAGAGAGAGACATAGAGACAGAAAGCGAGAAATCACCCCCCCAGGGGGGATGGTCACACCACAATCCCTTCTCCTCCATTCTCCTCTCAGGATTTTGGACACACACGCACACGCGCCCGGCATGAGTTTTAAGCCACAGGGTCTGGGACATGAACTGCGGTCAACTACGTGGGAGTCCAGCGACATAGCCATTACGCTAACTGCTGGTTCCCAGTTTACATATTTTTAAAAAGCTTGTCAGATACTTTATTCAAATATGTCATCAGCCAGGTGGAATGACAGTTAAGGTGACTGTCTTTCACATGGCTGATTCTGCAGTTTGAGTGCTGGACTCTGGCTTGAAAAATATCCAGGTGTATGTGTGTGTGTGACCAGAATCCCGAGAAGAAGTGGAGGAAAAGAGATCATGGTGTGGCCATTCCCTTTGGGGGTGGGAAGCTTTCTCACTTTGCATCTCTCTCCGTGTCTCTGGTGAGCACATGCATCCTACGGTAAACTAAGTAAATACATACGTACTGGGGAGAACCACCCGAAGGACTGAAAAGTCGGAGAAGAAAGAACGTCTACGCAGGGAGAACTAAGCTCACTAATTGCTAGTGAGGATTTTTTTAGGTTATTTTATTAAACTTTAATTATTTATTTTAATTTGAACAAAGAGGGACAGAGTGAGAGAGAGAGAGAGAGAGAGAGAGGAGAAAGTAAGCCACCGAGTTCAGGACTCGAACCATGGTCGGCCATGTGGGAGTCCAGCACCCTTAACCACCACGCCACTTGTCAGCCCCAGTGAGAATGTTTTATAACCATACACGTGGTCTCTTTGTTGATATTTAATGTGGACCAAATTCCTATACCACCTCTCTCCTTTTTTATTAATAAGTAATTATATAAATTAAGATATTAAAAATATACGGCTTTTTTTTTTTTTTTTACTAAGACATAAACTTAACAAAAACTGACTTACCTAAATTAGTGAGAAGGTAAGCAATTTTTTCATAAGCCTGCAATGAAAAGAGAATAGGGAATAGTATTATTTATTCTTTCAGAAAAGGTTGTTATTGCCCTAGTCAAAGAAACATTAAAAGTGTGTTTTCCAAAATGGTACATTTTAAATTAAGAGGAAACATTTAGGAACACGGCAGGTAGCACTGGCTCAGGGTGGTGCACAGGGTGTAGGGATGGTGGTGCGATCACATAGCCACACAGAGACCTTGGGTCTGGATCTAGAATGTGCTGAGTGAGCTCAGTATACCTGTGATCCTGGCTGGCTAGGAGGGTGGATGTGTGGGGATGTGGTAACCATGGCATAGGAGCCCATTCGTGGTGCCTCAATCTTTCAAGAAACAGACTACTAAGGAGGGAGAAAAAGAAGGTGGGTAACATGGTTAAGAGAGTCAGATCGCTCATGGCCAACTGCAGTTCGAATGCCAGCCCCAGCAGCTTGAAAAGCATGTGCGGCATATGTATGTGCATGCCCCAAATCCTGCCTGGATGCAGAAATAGAGAAGGGGCCAAGGTGTGACCACAGCCCATCGTGGGGTGCTTTCTCTCTCTCCCCCTGGCGAGTACAAGCACCCTCTAGTAACAACAATGACAAGGAAGCATGGACCTGGAGACTAAAAGCTGTTCACCTTCCCTGACCATTCCTTCCACAGAGCCAGAGTGATGAGTCATAGTAGCTATGTGCTGCATCTACCTCTTCCCAAGACCCAGAGCATTGCCTTGAGAAGAAAGATTTCCACTGCACACAATGGTCTCATCCTGCTCCGAGTGCAGGGTCTGCAGACAGAGCATCTTCATTCTGTTTATTTTAGTGATACTTGCAAGCTCTCATTTTCAAATTTTAGGACAAGATTACCTTGAATTCATGAGTACCTGAGTTCTCTTTACCATCACATGTTCTTTTCCATGTTCCCTCCTTCAGATGAGACGAGGCAGAAGGGCTCTAAGGAGTTTAATGGGGTGGGCTTGGTCAACCAACAGACAGCCTTTGAGCAGTGTCTCTAGTCTTGTGTGCAGTGCCCTTGTGGGGACTGAGGGTTAGATCCATTCAGATAACCGTCATGTAGAGCGTTTGTTTTGTGTCCGACCATGATTTACATTGTTTCCTTAATAATGTTGTCAGGTGGGTACAATGATCCCCATTTTACAGAACAGGAAACTAAGAGTTCAATGCCGGGCGCCTGCCTCAGATCACACCACTCAGCAAGCGGTGAAGACAGGATTCGCCATCATGCCTCTCCTGCACCACCTATGTGCTCCTGGTCACATGAGCCATTTCAGATGTCCGTCTTAATGTTTAGCACAGAGAGCTCACCTGTAAGCCTGAGATGGAAGTATCCATAACTGAATGTCCCAAGGGATTACAAAAGTCTTTGGAGGAATGTTACACAATGCAAAAGACACTGTACTATTGTTGGAAAGCTTCCTGAGGTGCTTGAGAACCTGCCTCAGCCCGGGCTCGAACGCTGTGGCTGAATGAAGCCACCACGACAATGGACCACAAAATCAGTCCATGCCAAGTGACGTGTTGGCTCCAAACTACCAAGTGCAAGAAGGGACTGCGATGTCCATATACCCACCTGTTTGGTGTGCAGTAACGGATCACTTTGACAGGACAAGAGGTGTGTGTGTGCGTACATGTGTGAAGTGGAATTGGTATAGATTTGGGGGAATAGAGGATGATGGGGTCTGGAGATAACTCTTATGGCTCTTAATAACACACACATAAAATACCATGTTAGAGAACCTAGAGTTTTAAAAAAATCACTGGTGCATTAAGTAAGCTGGAATTCTCTATTTTATATATACATATAGATAGATAGATAGGTATATATCTATATATTTAATCTCATATATACTTAATTATATATATGATTATATATATCACGTATTGTAATAATAAATTTGATTAAATATTAAACATATTATTAAATAAATATTATTAAATAAATCTTGAAATATTATGCTAATAATAAAATATTATTTAAAATATTAAAAATATGTATTAGGAATTTCCAGTAGGTCAGGTAGCGTTTGAGGAAGCAAACAGTGACTCTGGCAGACAAAACCACATAGTCTCTACTTTCATGGAACTCAAGTCCCAGTGGGCACAAACAAATACAGACAAATGTGGAATCGGTCAGGAGGGGAAAGTGCCGTGAGGGAAGACAAAGCAGGGTGAGTGGACAGAGCGCGGTGTGGGCACAGCACGGTGTTCATACAGTGATGGGAAGGTTCTCCAAGGGTGACATCTGAGCGGAGACCTGCATGAAAGGAGAAAGGAGCCAAGCAGAAATTTGGGCTAAGCACCTTGGGGACACAGAAACTGTCATGCACATGCCCGAGGCTGGCGAGGACTTGGTGTGTTTCAGGGATGGCCGCCGGGAAGTTCAAGGACCAGGAGTAGTAGCAAGGGTAGTGAGAGCTGAGTCAGTGGGATCTCGGGGAGAAACGCTTTGCCAGGCCTGGGAGGCCACAGTAAGAAATGTAGAATTTGTTTTGAGCTGAGACATCATCTCCTCCTTGGCACCTTGTTTGGAGTGTTGGCAGCAAGGGGGCCAGAAAGGCAGGGAAAGCAGGGGAAGGGCATGGTTGTAGCAAAGGGGATGGGGCGCTCTGCACTCGCTGTGGTGCTTTTCATGGCCAGATCAGAGCCTCCCAAGACAGCCTTTGCTGTGAAAATAAACTCCAAGCAGACCTAAGATCAAAAACATAATGCTTTTTCCCTAGTAATCTACATTTCTGAGCTTCTAGAAACCACGGACGTAAACATGAACAATGTAGGTGAATACATTTTTTATTCCTCTTATTAAATGAGTCATTTGGCATTCCCTCCTTTCCTGGTTAAGATGTGTAGTCTAATTCTTTGATCCACCCTATTATAATAACCTATTTGCATCGTAATTGGTAACCAGTCATAAGCAGGTATTGAGGAAAGTTAGGTGTGTTTGGAGGCTTTCCATGATCAAGTCCTCAAAAGGAGCATAGGAATGTTTGCTCTGGACCCCGGAGATGGCAATGGACCAACGATGGGGAAAAGTCCGGAACCAACATGAAGTATTTATGTCAGCAAATGTATTATAGTTAGATTTTTAAATTTGGGATTATGGTATGTTCTGTGCATGGTATATGAATTTAAGATGGAGATGAGGAATACCAAGAGGAGTTCTTTTATTGATTATTGGACTAGTTTAACTGGCCAAATCCCAGATATTTCAAACTACAAGGATATTTCCACTCGGATGTTTCTATTGTTGTCTTATAAATTACCCATTACTCTATCGTGCTGCTGCAACACAACACAATTAGTTTAAGTTTGATGGCCAAGCATCTAGAATATCCATTTCTGTGATAATTTTACACTTTTAGCTTTTTCAATCATTTCAGGATTTTTTTCCCCTGGCTACTTGTGGTATCTTTAAGGAGCATGGCACTTTTAGAGGGGAGCAAAATAAGGCAGGAAAGACTGGAACAAGGAAAGGTCAGCTCTGGTGTTCAATTCAGTCTTTGCAGATTATGGGCTATATGCCTGGTAAAGAGATGTTAAAAGTGAAAAAAAAAAAAAGTAATTGTTGTTATTTGGAATGTATTTTTTAGAAAATGGGCCTTCTGATTTTCACTTTGCATCCCAATGACCTGAAATATATTAAATTAATGATTTTCTAAATCTATCTTAGAGAGATGAAGAAACTCATGAAGAAGGGCTTAAGTTTTCTGACTGTATACACTAAGCATTAGAAGTTATGGATTAAAACAAAGTTTGACTGATTTTAACCCATGACTACATCTCATAATTGTATATGTGTTATATATGCATATGGTTTATAGCTGGAAGGCATATAAGACTAATAGTATATTTCAACGGAGGCCAAGTTCTTCATCTAGGGAAAATGGTGACTCAGGGCTCCTAAGGCCAACAACAACAAAACAAAACAAAACAAAACAAAACATTTTATTAGCTGGATATTTAGTTTGGTCTTAAAATAATGTAACAAGAGGTAGGATATGCATTTGGTTTTCTTTTTATGGAAAACTTATAGTTGTAGGTACTGGGTCATTGGAAAAGTCATGGCATTTTTCTACATTTTTTTCTTTTCTTGTGTAGAAAGAGCTTTTTTGCTTTTGGGCACATGTGCTCAGAGAGACAGAGAGAGACAGAATGCAAGAAATCTCCCCCAGACAGATAGCCATATCACACTCCCTTCTCTTCCATTCTTCTTTTAGGATTTTAGGCATGCACATGCACCTGGTATGAATTTTATGCCTTTGGTTCCAGGACTCAAACTGTGGTTGACTATGTGGGAATCCAGCAAAGTAAACATTATGTCATCTGCCAGGTACCTTTTCTATGCAAAAATGTGTCATGACTTTTCTGATGACCCAATATTTGTGGGGTACAAAGGACATTATGATTTTTTTAGTACCATGTAGAATGATTAAATTAAGCTGATTAATTGGTTTAGCACCTCAAATATTTAACACATTTGTAATAAGAACATTTAAAATTTACAATCTTAAGAAACTTAAATGTACAGTACTCAATTGATAGCTATATTCACCATGCTGTGCAACTAATTTCACAAAAAGGAAAAGAAATTGAAAAATCAAATGATTTCTCTTATCTGAGGCTTTGTACCTTTTGACTATAATTCTTCCATTACCCCCTAGCCCCCCACAGCAGCCACTAGGAACTACTTCCTACTCTGCTTCCACGAGTGCTTTGTTTTCAGTTCCAAGCCTAAGTGGGACATGTTGCATTTGTTTTTCTGTTTGATTTACGTCATTTAGCATAAAGTCCTCCAATTCCATCCATATTGTCTTGAATGACAGATTCAGCCTTTTTAAAGGGTGAATAGTATTCCAGTGTATGTGGTGTGTGTGTGTGTGTGTGTGTGTGTGTGTGTGTGTGTGTGCATGTACATATATTCAAAAACTACAGTTTTTGAAACTGTAGTTTTGAAAGCCAGTGTGGTTCTAGGGAAGGGATGCTGAGGAGGGGATAAGAAATGAAGCCAAGTGAGAGTTTCAGAGATCGGTGATTAGGAAGCCACTAGAACAATATGAGACTATAACCTGGTACACCAATGGAAACGTCAGGCAGCTCTTGCCTTTTACTCCATCAGTGATAATAGAAGGATCCTTCACAGGAACAATGTTTAGGGGTAAAGCTCCCCCATTCAGATGTAGGGGATCATAAACTTGGACTAACAAGTCCTTTGGCTGCCCTGGGAAGATGGGTATTTTACTACCTAAGAACTGAGTACTGTGCCCCAGACCTGGAATTTCTGTTTCCAGGGTCATCATATTTGCCTTTCCAAGTAAAAATTAATTAGCCATATTTGACTTCCTTCTCCTAACCTGGGAAATATTCCCTATCTTCAAAAATATTAGGCAAGTTTATTAATTCATTCGTGTTTCTGAAGATTAGTAGGTCTTTGGAACAAATTACCAAATAGATGTAAGAAGAAAAGGTGCTCTTTTAGAAAGCAATGATGGTTGATGAGGGAAGAAGAAATAAAGACACATGAAATCATTAACATCAATGCCCGCCCAATGGGCATGATGATTTTACGGTAGGAAAGGAGGCAGGTGGCACTACAGATTGAGGAAGATGCATTTTAAGTAGTAGTAATTTAATAATTTTAATATTTCCTATAATTCAAGGCTATAGTTAATAGAGCATAAAAGGGGAAAATAAAATAACCACTTTCAAAAGAACAATTTAATTAAAAATTATTATATATAATGGTATTATTTTTACATGAACTAATTAAACATTAAGATATTTTCTTGTTTTATCAGCCATATTTGATAAAGGCATAATATCACAGACTGTCTTGATTTTGTTCTTCTCCAAAGACAACTCAACTCTTGGAACTTAAATATTTATAAATGATTAATAGATAACATTTTTAAAAACTGAGCAAAAAAACCTCAATCAATGCAAATGTGGCCTGAAAAATTTAGAAAATACAGGGAAAAAAAAGTCTTTATCATTCCCATATTTTTAACTTCAGACAAATGAATAATTAAACTTTATTATTTAAAGATGAGAAAAATGGGGAAAACAAAGAAACTGTTGGTGTTTTGTAAGAAAGAATGAGTATAGACTGACTTATGCAGGGAAATATTGGGTCGTCTGAAAAGTCATCATGCATTTTTGCATAGAAAAACAGAAAAATAGGCCCTGACTTCTTACGAACCAATGAAATGATCAAATATTGAAAAGAAGCAAATATATAGGAATGAAGTTAATAACCATGACTCCTTCTGTGGGCCAGCAGAGGACCTCCCTAAATCTGCATTTCTGTGTGTTAGTCTTCTCGGTCTCATGGGAAGAGTTGGAGAAAGTAAAGCTCATTCATGTTCTGTGGGTGGCCGGGATGGCACAGGTCAAATAGCCAACCTCTGCTTCACTGAGGTCCAGAGTCCACTGCTTTTTGTCAGGAACCCAAATTGAGCAACTGATAATAAAAACTGATGGAAGCCTGGACAGTTTTGGGGAAGGCGGGAGAGAGAAGGGTGCCAGATGAGAATGGAAAGGACAGGGTGTGTCTCTACCTGGGGTTTCTGGGGCACCAATAATCCTTTCCACAAAATGACAGTCATATAGGAACTTTGGGTCACTTAAAATTTTATCTTTATCCTTCCTGGGTGGCTGTTGTTTTAGGGATGATTCATATATAAGGCAAAAGGGGTCAGCAGATGGCATAATGGTTACGTTGCTGGACTCCCACATAGTCAACTGCGGCTTGAGTCCCAGACCCGGTGACTTAAAACTCATGCCAGGCACCTGTGTGTGCATGCCCCAAATCCCAAGAGTAGAATGGAGGAGAAGGAGTTGTGGCATGGCTATCTCCCCCAGGGGGTGATTTCTCATTTTCTGTCTCTCTCTGTCTCTCCGGCAAGCTCGTGTGCCCTACAGTAAAAAATCTCTCTAAAAACGAAAATCCAAAAAAATATAAGACAAAAAAAGTGCACTCCATATTAAAGAAATTTGTTGTCTAAAAATCAATACCTACGTAGAGATAAATATTTGAATACTCGGAAAAAGGTTTCTTAATTAAAAGTGTATGTCACATATTATCCCACTATCGAAAAAATAAATGCTATTAACATTTGATTGTAATTCTGTACAAGTTAAGATGTTATAGAGAGAGGGAAGGTAAGAAAGGCATGCCCTCTGATAGCGCCAGCCTGAGACGGAGAGGTCCTGTTGGGGTATGACAGTCTTCCTCCTACTGGAAAAGAGCAGAGAAGCACTGGGAGAGGAAAGAGAGAGGAAGAAAAGAAAGAAGGAGGAAGAAGAAATGTTTAGCTCTAGGGGGAAAAAATATGGGGTAGCTGCCTGCTTCCCATTTCAAACGAGGCCTTTGGGATAACAAGCCTTCACTCATTACAGATATTCCTGTATCTTGACAACAAGTTCTCCTATGAGATTGATTTTGTCTGAGATGTTTTCAATCCCTTGTTTGTTTGAAAAGAGCGTGGCGCCAGCTCTGGCTCACACTCCACACTCCACGGCATCATCATCAATCTAGATATATACTCAAAAAGCAGGGAGGACAATAAAACTAGCACTGGTTTTAACTTTAAAAATGTAGGATCTAAACCACATAGATGAAATATTTTCTGGGGGCCAGCAGCTGGCATGGTGGTTAAAGTCGCTGGACTCCCACATGGGCAACCATGGTTCGAGTCCCAGACCCAACTGCTTGCTTTCTCATTTTCTCTTTCTCTCTCTGGTCAAATGAACAGTAATAATAAATAAGTGAATTGAATTAATCATTAAAAAAAGAAATATTTTCTGGTAAACTGAGTTGTCTTTACCAGAAGGTAGCTAGGTCTCATTTTTACTTGCATGTAAATGCATTCCAAATACAAATGGAAAGCGACCTCTCTCCTACCCAGCCCTCTTTACCTATTGAAAAATAGCAACGGGAACACTTACAAGATTCAGCAACATAATGATTATGAAATTGATGCAGACAGCAGCAGCCGACGTTGCAAACTGCCAGTGCTGCTTGATGAAATTCCACTTGAAGGATGCGAACTGTTCCATGACAACCAGACGGTACACCACCACGGCAAACACGGCAGTGATCACCAAGGAGATCTGCAAGACAGGAGGCCGGAGGAGATGTCTGTGTTTACATCATTTGTAAATCAAAAGCAAGAACAGAGATCAAATGCATTGCCTACCCGTGTTGAAGGCATTTACCTTTCTGCAAAAGAGTACAGAGATTTCATTTCTCCTCTGAGGACTTAAGTTACATTAGAGTCAAAATAAATAAGATAAAATTGAAGTTTTTAAACTGTAAAACAAAGTCATCCCGTTAAAATGCAAATTCTGTCCCAATTTCCTCTTTCAAGTGGAATGCTTAGTTTTAACACAGTATCGCTGACTCATTAAGGCAACTCAGGCCATCTCATTTCCTCTTTCAAGTGGAATGCTTAGTTTTAGCACAGTATCACTGACTCATTAAGGCAACTCATGCCACCTCCATTTGATCTTGGAAGATCTGTTCTCCCAAAGACGGTTTTATTTGAAGAGGTGCACAGATTCCTCTTGTCAAATGTCCTGGACTTGCTGAGATTCTGGTTTTGCTTTACTGTTTTGACAAGGACGTGGTTTCTTACATCCTCAGGGTCACAGAGAGCTGGTATGGTAAAACCTTTCTACACCTGGTGTCACGCGCGACTTGGCACTGATGCCTATGCACTTTACCATGAAGAAGATCCCTGAGACCGAGACGAGTAGACGGGTAATTTTGTCTGAAGAAGGCTGGTGTGGCTCAGGTTTTCCTGTGATGGGATTTACTATCTCCATCTTATAGTACTTGGCTTCGAACTGGGGACGGAGTGTTTCCTATGACAGAAACTGAAGTTATCTAAACATCAAAGTCATAAGCTTAAAATGAAATCCTCCAAGACTAGATATAAAACTCCTAAAGTTGGCCTACTTTTCCATTAGGTCTTCACTAAGAAGCAACTTTTCAAAAATGAGATGCAAATTATTTTTCAAATAAATCCCAAGCTGTACTCTAATTAGCACAAATTCTACTAATGCAATTTAAGGAAACATCATAGAAGTGGGTTGAAAATATCATACACTTTATCACTGATCTCTATTATATTTATGAAATAAGTTTTGCTAAAAAAATATCAAGGGAAAATCTAATGGTGTCTAGCTGTTTCCGGCCTGGATGCTGGGTGATGAAGGGTTTTCCGCAGCGAGTGGTACCCCAGGCTCCTCGCCTCCTGGTTTCCTTACCTCCTCTTCTTCCCATTCAATAAGGTCCCAAGTGTAGGTCAAGATACTTCTTCTCCTTTTCCAAAACTCCAGGAAGACTGTAGCTAGAAAACATAATAATAATGGTAATAACTTTACTCAAACCACATCACATGCTTTTTCTCCTTCAGGATGACATATTTTCATGTTATTAAATTGTTAAAAATTATTATTTAACCAATAAAAGTAAACGTTCTTTTTCCCTCATCCTCTTCCCGGCCTCTATGTGCTGCTCTCTGCACATATTCCTGGTGGGAATACTGTCTATCGCTGAAATTGAGAAGCAGAGACTTGCTAGCAGGACTCAACAAAGTGATGCCAGGAGAGGTTAATAGTCGTGATCTGTGGGGCCAGCAGGTGGCAGCATGGTTCAGGTGCTGATTTCCCACATAGCTGACTGTGGTTTGAGTCCCGAACCCAGAGGCTTTAAAACCATGCCAGGCACGAGTGCATGCATGCCCAGCATCCTGAAGGGAAAACGGAAGAGAAGGGGCTGTGGTAGGGTCACCACCCCCCTGGGGATGATTTCTCACTCTGACCCGCAGTCTCTCTCTAGCAAGTGTGTGCTTCCTATGGCAATAATATTTTTATTTTTTGGAGAGGTTTTTGCTATAGGGCGCGTGCACTCGCCAGAAAGACAGAGAGAGACAGAGAGATAGAAAGTGAGAAATCACCCCCGAGGGGGGATGGCCACACCACAATCCCTTCTCCTCCATTCTCTCCGGATCTTGGGCACGCACGCACACGTGCCTGGCGTGAGTTTATGCCACCAGATCTGGAACTCAAACCACGGTCAACTACATGGGAGTCCAGTGACAGCCATTATGCCAACTGCTGGTCCCAGAAAAAAAATATTTTTAAAAAATTTCAAAAAAAATTGTGCGCTAAACTTTATTGTCCCTTTTGACCTGTACATACTTATTCAAAATTATTTAACAGACAAAAATAAGGCCTTCTCCAGAACTGACAAGAAAGCAGCTGCTCAGATGCAGCTCTGGCAGCACCCAGAGAGAGATGGGGAAGCAGGAGGGGGCACGAGTCCCTCCGGAGGGTGGCGTCTGCATGTACTGGAAGGGACGCGACAGAAAAGTCAGAACTGCCTGCCTCGTTACCGGGATTTCCTGCAGAAACAGCTATAAGCACAACTGCTTTCTTTTTAATATGTGAGCTTCCCATTATTCCAGGTGGTGTCCAGAGTGGTGGTGCAGGTGGTAGGACGCCAGTGCTCCCTACTGGTGTCACATGGGAGTCCCTGGGTTCAGATCCCGGGTTGGCCTGGACAGGCCGAGAGCCCGGGACACCCATGGTCCTGGACGGCTGGCAGGCTAGGGTGGGACTGAGTGTGCTGAGATCCCGTCAAAGGTAGCTGTCTCTCATGAAAAAAAGAAACTTCAAAAACAAACAAAAACCCGTGGACGTAACTGAGAGCTCACATATACATTCTTTTCTTAAAGTTTATTTTATTTTTTCCATGAAAGAGAGAGAGAATCAGGGACAATGAGAGGCACCCCAACATGGTCCCTACTCATCCACCCCGTCTCAGCCGGCCAGGAACACAGCAGAGTGTGTGGCCCTGCTGTGCACAGGAGACTTCTGGCCAGGATGAGGGACGTTCCTGTCTGACTTGCGTCTGTCGTGTTCCCAGTGCACCCCTGCCACCCCCAGTACATGAGTGTTCTTATACCCCTGGGACTGGGCTGTTCATTTGGACGAGACGCTCTAACCTCAGGGATCTTCTGATCTCGTGCATGAAAGCAGTCATCTATAAAGCGACTCATCACGTAATAAGAGTTATGATAAAGGAAACATGAGCGTGAGCAGAGAAACACGCTTTAACACACACACAGAGACACACACACACACCACACACAAGCAGTTGATAGAACAAATAAGTGACTTCTTTTTCCCTGCCTGCTTTTATCCTCTTGGTTTTTAATGTAAGTGAATGGCAGCGAAAATAATTCTGGAAGGTCTGTTCTTTTACTTCTTTTTCCCTTACAATTAGCCATCAGCACCAGGGCAGGCTCCATGGCACAGTGGTCATGCACCAGCCAGAGCAGTCGGATTCCGCAGGGTGACCGCAGTTGGAATCCCTGGCCCAGTCAGCCTGGGACACATCAGGCACATGTGTGAGGGCCCAAGACCTGGCGGGCGGGGGACAGGGGCTGTGGCATGACCAGACCCTGCGCAGGGTGTCCCGTTCTCTCCGTCATGCACCTGGGCTTGCTCTATCATGGATGAAGGAAACAAATTCAAAAGCAGCATAGTGTCAGTTAGAAAAAATAGAGTGTTCATAGTTACAGCATCTTACATTTTATCGCACTTTAAAATTTGGACAGTCCTTTGTCACATACGATTTCATTTAGGTGTCATGCTCGTTAGCATTTACAAGGAGAAATGACAAATATAATCACGTGGAGTTTGGACAGAAAGGGCTGACTGTGTCCAAGGCCACCCAGACATTAATTCTTTAGTTTTCTGCCATAGGGTGCATGTGCTCACCAGAGAGGAGAGAGAGAGACAGAGAGAAGGAAAGTGAGAAATCACTCCCTAGGTGGGGGGCGGGGGGGGGGGGGGTTGGCCATGTACACGCGCATGCCTGGTAAAATTTTCAAGCCATCGGTTCTGGGACTCAATCCACAGTCTGTCATATGGGAATCCAGCTGCCTTAACCACCATGCCACCTACTGACCTTGATTTTCTTTAGTATCTTTTCTTCCTTAGCATTTTTAGAACTTAGCATGTTTTCGTGCTCACTTGAACTAAATAGAAAGTGGTGGTTATGACTACAACTCCTGGTCTTCTGCTCTTACCCATATTCCAGCTTTTCCTATTATGGACCATGGAATTTTATTGGTGACCGAGGAAGAAGACAGCCTGTCACCAAGAGACCTCTTCTTCACCTGTTTTCTATATTGAGCAATCAAATTCAATTTTATTTGAAAAAACAACTATGCTTAAAAAGCTTGGAAAACCACTTCACTATACTTCTACGGAGTTGATTGAGAAAAGGGGTCAACTCCAAAACAAAGTATGTGTGAATATGGAGGAAGAGAAGGAATTCCAAGTATTGTTTTCACCAGAAGAGATAAAGACACAAAGCCTTCTGGAAACAAGGCTCAGCTGAAACAACAGTTTATCAGGGCAACAGCTCTGAGATTGCCAATTTGGACAGCACCCAAGGACTTCTAAAGACTTTCCTCAGCTCTCTAGCTTTATCTTCAGCAACCTCCTCGAGCACAATGTGCTTCCCCTGGGCACTGCTGCCACACTGCTGTGCCTGAGGTGGAGATGGAAACCTGCAGAGCAGGTTCTACCTTTAGCAGAGGGCCACGAATAAGGAACATTTTCAACACCCTTGCTGGGACAAGTATTGTCTCTTTTTAAATTTCTGTTAACACCTTATAGAAATGCAATGAGTGGTGTTTTCTACACAAGTATGGAGTGGGTTGACTGATGTGAAGAACCAGTCAGTATGTGTGGAAGGGCAGATTTTGAACATTGGGGCACACTGTACTTGACACTGAGAGCCATCCCTGGAACTGGTTAGTCAAGACCTGTGGTTGGCCTATTCAATTTCCTCTTTGTCTAAGGACACGGAACCTCTACTTCCAATTTCCCTCCCTTCTTTTTCATCTCTAATAACATTAAATGAGAAAGAGCATTAGATTGTACTCAGTACTACAGATGAATACCAACCAGAATATAAAATTTACTAGCTTCACTTTTATAATGAGCACGACTTGAGAAAGTAATCGTCGTCTTTCGAACATCTAGGAAAGGCAGCGCAGAGAGTGTAAGTTAGAGTAGAAGGTTCTGGGTTCAAAAGGTGCCTACATTCTTTTCTAGTTATAGGACCCCAGATAAATTACCAAACGATGGTAAACTTCCGTGCCTATAACGTAAAATGAGAATAAGATTGTCTTCATCGGGATGTTGCACTTAAGTGAGGGATGATTTGTAAGTGGTCTAACTATGTTTAATTCACTTAAAGAATATAATAAAGTATAAGGCATTTTTTAAACATTCTGCTAGTTGTTACACATAGGAAATATAAAAAAAGTTCTTGATGTTTCACTTTATAAAGATATCGTACATTTCCCCACCAGGACAAAGAGAGCTATTGAGACTTATTTATATTTCAAATGTTTCACTTTTACAAAATTCAGTCACAATGGGTTTCCACATAACATGTATTTTCAGTCTTTTGCAAATGGTATACAGTATTCTTTTTCTCCATTTGTATTTAGACTGACAGTCTGCCTAGAGAGTCAATCATTCAACCCACACTTATATCTAAAGAGCACAATGTATATCTATCAATATAGTGTGCCTGCAAAAAACCCCCTAAAAACAAAACCAGAAAAGATCACATATATCCAAAGAGAGAGAAGAAAACTAGCATTGATAGAGCACTTACAATATCTTAGACTTTGTGCTCATCATTTTTACATTAACTTATATCATCTTCACAACAACCCACGGTAATTAAATTCTCATCATTAGATAGGCAAATTGAGACTCTTAGAGGAAGTCACTTGGTTAGAATTCAAATCTAGATCCAAATGCTGAACATTTTCCATGATTTATTTCAAAAATAGTTTGGGAAACAACTTTCAAACTATATAATTTGCAACATCCTTCTGGGACAAAATTAGAATCACAGATAAAATTACTAAGAACATTTGTGATGATCTAAATAAGATTAAAAACTAGAAGTCAGCTGCTCATGAACCCAGGACCCAACAAACAGCAGTCTAAAGCAGTCTAAAGCTCTCTGGCCTGACCTTTGCTTTTTCTTATGCATGTAATTATGACTTGGAGTCTTTTTTCTTATAGATGTATCTATTAAGATAGAAGCCTTTGCATTGGTCTTCTAGAAAACTTTTGCTTTGCAGTAAAATTCTAATAAAATTTTGATACATGATCCTACTTGTGCCTGAAGCTTTTTTTCCATCCATGAGACACTTCTATCTGAATTGTGAAGTAAGACATGAGAGGGAACACTTCTTGATCCACAATTCAAGCAAACGCCCAGCTATTTCAGTTAATAATTGATCTGTTC